GGCATCTATTTTATTTTGAAGATATTAGATGAATGACTATACTATAGTGACTGTGGCCAGTGTCTCAGTGACTTGTGCTTATTGAGCTCATTAAGATTTATTTGGCATATTTTTTGTTTCCTTTTGCTTTTTAAAGCTTCGATTGTTAATGCTTCCCCATTGTATCTTTCCTGCTTGCAGATTTGACACATGCAGCTCCACCACAGCTGTTGATCCAAACCACTGACGTTCTGCTCAGTGGTTCCTCAAATAGAAAATGAGCTGACAGTAAACTTTAGGCTTCTTAATAATGTCTCATAAAACAATGTCTTTTCCAAATCTCTTTCTAACGAACTGTTGAGACTCGACAAATAACCACATTTCCACTGTTTTCCCCAACATGTCTAACTCAACGCCGGTGGAGCAAACAAGGCCTTTTAATGTTAGAGGGAGGTTAGAATTTCTTACGCTAACACTTTGTTTAAAGACAGAACAAATCAAGTGCCAAGTTCATGCTGATCAGATGCACCAGAACACCTTTTTCTGTGATGAAACTTGAGCTGTGTCTCACTGATTCACCTGTTCAGTCCAGAGAGAATCCACATGTCCTCGATCCCAAGTCTTGATTGAAGTTGTCAGAAGCGTAGGTCGGCTGATCTGCTGAGTTACATATTGAGTTTCATTCATTGATATTTTAGATTTTTGTACCTGGCATTTTTTTCTAACTATATTATATATTTATATATTTGTTTGAAGAGGAACCGCTTTTACTTATTATTTTTAGAAATGATGACTCTGTTTTTCATGCAAGCTGAAGATGACAATAGTCTTCTATCCCTATTTCCTGCATTAGCTTCTGACAGAAAAAAGACAGAACGACACTCAGTTCAGAAAAGCCTGACAGATCTACATCACACTGACATTAACATTCATGGACTCATCTTGGCTCATCTATCTTGTCTCCAAATCCTGTCATGTTCTGTCACTTTCTTGTCTGGTTGGTTTCTATGTCCTGAAACAGGCACATCTGAGCTTTTTCCCCCCAGATAACAACAAGCAAGGCATTCATTCCTATTAGAGACCACTGCAAATGTATTAAAAATGAAATAAATACCTTTAAGAAAAATGTATACTTCTAACCCCATTAAAATAAAAAATATATAGAGTAAACCAGGGACGTTGACATTTCTCGCAGAGATTTTTTCTTGACATAAACGTTGGCCACTTATATCTTCATCTACACAATCTGACAAATGTTGACCCTCAACTTGCTCCAAGTTGCTAATGTTGGCCCCGCCCATAAAATTTAGGTTTGACCCACCTGCCGATTTATAGAACATGTATGTACATGTATGCAGAGTGTGTAACAGAAGAACCAAAATGTCATCTACATAAAAGCCACAAAAATGGAATAGCTCAAATAAAAAAAATGCTAACATTCAAAAAACAGATTTTTCTTGGTGTTGACATTACAGGGTTGAAGTATAGGCTCTGCACCATCTTGCATCATCTGTAAAAACAGAAAATATTCTACTAAATCTTTCATTTGTGCAGAAAAAAAACATTTAAACAAATGTTTATGTTTATTGAATAAAATAAAGTGTTGCATTTTCTACTATAACTTGCTTTTGGCTCACAAAAAGAGGTGTTCAGGGGCTTTTACAGTGTGCAGTAATTACAGTGATTATTATAATTCATAGTAAAATAAAGTCATTATAGTTTAATTGGTGTTCCTTTTAAATGTCTAAAGAAAATTAGCTTTTAAAGACAAACACCAGCTTGAACAGAGAAGAAATCTGTCTGTTTTTACACACAGGTAATCACACCAGATGACAAACTGACAAAACACTTGTGTTTTCTTTTTTGGAAGGGTGGCATAAACATCATAAGATCCTTGTCCTTTCAGGCGTGTTAAATAAAAGCGAGGTAACGTTGTTTTGATAAGGACAGACGGTGCTTAGACTGGTATTGTTCTGGCAGAAGGTGGAGAAGAAACAAGCTCCGGGAGAAACAGGCAGCTAGGGTAAGAGATCCCCGATGACAGGCTGTACATAATTGATTGTTTATCTGTCTGCAGCCTGAGCAGCAGCAGTCAGTGAGGTAATACCTGCAACACACACACACACACACACACACACACACACACACACACACACACACACACACACACACACACACACACACACACACACACACACACACACACACACACACACTGCAGGGATTGAGTTGGCGATTAAAATGGGAGTGGTTTATTCTGGGATCAGGAGTGTAATAAGTCTAAATACCTAAATAACCAGGTCAGGTTTTATAGTGATAACACACACATGCTGCACCAACACATCTTTCTGTGGTCTTGTTGCCTTCGCTGCTTGTATATTTGACAGAACTGACCTTGAAACAAGGAAAAACAAAAGGACCTGTAATTTGCTGTTTTCTAAATGCTCACAACCAGGCTTTACTCATACTCCAACAGCAGATATGTGTGTGTGTGTGTGTGTGTGTGTGTGTGTGTGTGTGTGTGTGTGTGTGTGTGTGTGTGTGTGTGTAAGAACAAGAGCAGAACAGTGGACCCCCACCCCGCTCCTGTGTGCCCTTCAATCCATCTCACACACACTTGCACACATACATCAAATTCTCGATGAAGGAGCTCACCACAATGTCACTTTCAATTTGGTTGAACCCACGGTCTGTTCAGGAGATGTAATGGCTTGGATGATGGCAGGGAAATGGATGATGCGACTCAGGTGATCGCAACAAGCACTCACATTTCTAATTCTCTCACTCCTCAGATGGCATCCTCCAATCCTCACAACTGTGAGCATTTAGACTCAAATCGTGACAAATCAAGGTGCAAAATGCTTGTGAAACCAGTTTGGCAGAAGAATGATTCAGAGATCTGCTTAATGATTGAACAAAAGGAATACAAATAAAACAAAAAAGGTTCTGTGCCCTGCTGCTGTGTTTGATGTGACCTTCATGTCCTAAACTGAAATAACTGTCTCCTGTTCGGTTTGTCTTCTTCAAGAATTTTATGCTTTCTAAGAGATTGAAGTGGCTGCCTGTCCTTTCAGCAGCTTTGAAATGTTGTCAGCATAAACAGAATGGTAATGTTAGCGTAACTGCTAATTGTTTTTCCAAGTACTGTGGATGAAATGAGATGGGCTTGTCATGACCATGCTTTGCTCTTCATCGTTTTGGGCAAACACAAAAATGCTGAACAGAGAAAAAAAGGCTTCTAATATTTATGCGAGGTTTTGGTGACAGGAGATTTGGAAGAGCATATTAACACATAAAAGGGAACGTTTAGGTGTCTAAACCTTGTTAAAGACAAAAGACAGATGTTTGCATTCAGCAAAAATCTAGTCTGCTATGAAAAGGTCAAACCCAGTCTTCGCACATCTTACTTCCTACCTAGTTTAGTTCAGATATGATGATGATGATGATGATGATGATGATGATGATGATGATGAACACATTCTGAAGTCAAAATAAACAAATACCAGAGAGTTAGACAAATATATATATATATATATATATATACAATATTGTCCATGTATAGCTGTATAGGCTGTATATATACAATAATAAAAACAGATATAGTTTTAATAAATTTATTGCAGCTAACAAACTAATCCACATGTGGGACCGAAAAGAAATATTGACTAAATTATGTTTTTTAAGTCACTGGTTCTCTAGTCTTCATCAGTTATTTCCTTTGTTGTAGTAGGTGTAGTATTTTGCTTGCTGCCACTGGAACAAGGCTCCTGACTAGCGCTGGGCGACATGGCCTGAAATAAATATCACGATATATTGAGGATTTCGCCTTGATAACAATAAATGGACGATAACTACAAGTATGTGCAGAAACAAAAGTTGTTCACTAGATGGGGCTGTCACATGTATTACATCTAGGTGGTGCAACTTCTTAAAGGGACATGGACGTTGCCAACCTACACACACATCTTTTCATGTTTTTATTATAACATTTATTGACATGGGAAACATTATCTCAATAAGAGTCAGAAATTTCGATAATGATACATTTTCCATTTATTGCCCAGCCCCACTCCTGAGACATTAAAATGTTAATTTCATAAGAGAAAATTGCCTAAAACAGCCATTTCTTAGGTAGGATGTGACATCTCCAGTATTTTACAGTTTTTCTCCATATCATAGATTTTTTTTCCTAATCTAAAATGGTCAGAGCTTGCTTGTAGAATGACATCACTGGCTTCAAGGCAGATTGAGTTGATTGGCACTAGCCACACATAAAGGAAGGTGAGACAGGCACATAAAAGGTACAACTGGAGCCTGTACACATAAACATGATCTTTTGAGGTGAAAACAGTTCAGGTTGGTTTCAATGGTTCTAGACACTTTGCTAATGTTTAAACTCACCAGCTGTTTAGATTTCTTGAAAGACATGACATCATTATCATCACTATGAAGCTCGACATTGGTTTGTGAGACATTTGTGGGATACTTCAGGTTAAAGAAATGGTTTTTATTTTATTAAAACTGTGACATTCTTACATTTGCAGGTAAGTTAGGGTACAAGCTAAAGTCCTGTCATTCGAAAACTGAACCTTGTGGAACTCCGGTATTGCAGATTTTATAGGTTTACCGTATCATCCAATGGCAGCTAGCCAACCCGCTACAGTATGCTTTCTAGTGCTCAGCTGCATCATCTTCTTCTGTTGTGTTTCAGACTCTGGCCTTATCATGAGCTGTGATTAGCTGACATCACCATCTAAACACATATTGGTGGCCACTAGTTAGCTGTTGCTGATTGACGTGAATCTCTAAAATCTAAAAGTTGTGGTTTTCTTCTTTTTTGTACGTTTTTCTGGATCAAGGACTTCTTTAGGGGTTCATGAATGAATAAAGAGTCAACAGAACTTGTGGGCAAGGTTTGAAGATCTAGGAATTAAAAATCAAAATAAAAAACTGAACACCAAATGAGACTATCTGTATGACATCTTAATGAAACAGACTTCTGTTGTGTCTTTTGTGTTTAGAGCATGACGAGTGCCTCAGCGGACTGCATAACTGTGATGAGAACGCCTTGTGCTTTAACATGGTTGGAGGCCACAGCTGTTCCTGTAAGCCAGGTTACACAGGCAATGGAACTGTCTGCAAAGGTGAGGCCTTGTCTTTTGGTTTAAAGTCCTATTTATGAGGCTCTTGCTTCATAGTTGCTTTTCCAACCAAATTAGTAGATTTGAGTCCACTAATCGATGGATAATCCTGGTAAATCTTGAATTCTCCTTGTGTGTTTCTGGAAAGTATTCCCAAAGATTATTACTCTATATATGTATATATTTTTTTCACAAATTAAAACAATTATCTCCATTCTTAATTATTCCTCTGTCACCTTCGTTGGTCTTCGAACCTGTGAGTCACAGGGTAAACTTAAATTTAGACACAGTTCACACTCGGCGTTTGTAATAAGCTGCAATTTTATGAAAGAACTAAAAAGCATGAGAGCCTATAATTTTTAAGAAAGCTATAAAAATCTCACTTTTTTTGAAGGTGATGATTTAAGTGGCATGATAACATGATAGTCTACTGTAGCTGCACAAGACAAACTCTCACCAACAAATTGAAAATACAGTGCAGGCAACAGTTAGTACCTAACCACCATAAGTTGAATACTGGTTTAAAAATCATTGAATACAAAAAGGGGGCTCGCTCCAGGGGGAACTAGCTGACAGGCAATTTGTTTGATGTGTTAAACAATAACCTATGTATATGGCATTTAGTGCATAAGGCCCTTTGGGTAAAATTAAAGATCAGAAATATCTCAGTGACCCCTAAACACCATAATGCATCCATTTTAGAAGGCATCATTAAAATGACTATTGCAATCTTCCTCTTTGCCTCCACCTTGAGATCTGACCACTTACATATGCTACACCAAAGAAAACCTTTGTTTGACTTATTTCAATTTTTTTATCTGCACCTTGGTTGCTCTGTGGCTCTGCCACAAACACATCTCACTGCTGCAACATCACAGTGCCTCTCCAAGGCAATACAACTTGTCAGTGCCTCCACCTCACCCAAATGCACCTCGATTTCAATCTTGGTAAAATTCTGTTTTCTGGACCTCTTGGTTGCCATGATTACCCATAAAAGGCCACCAATCAGCTGGCTTACGTGTATGCAGAATATTCTCATAGTGCTTTGCATTGACCATTTATGGCAGAAAGTGGGTGAGTAGGAAGCTGTTAGTTCAAAAACACCCGGGCACATTTCGAGGACAGGCGGGCTTTATAAACCAGGAATTGCATGCAGCCATACATAAACAGTGTTTTACTTGTCTGAAAAAAAACTTGCATAAGTATATTTTCTTTGCAGAGTTTAGGTAGTTTTAGTGACGATTTTATGCAAAGTATTACAAACAAGCCCCCAGCTTTTTCCTAAAATCTCAAAATGATTCTGAATGACAAAGTGTCAGAGAAGAGCAATGGGCCATTCTTTCTTGGATTTCCACTCTTCTGGATTTTATTAAGGCTTCTAAACAACTGTCTTTCTGTTCATGTGCTACTTTTCAGCATTGCCTATTTTGGTAGAGCACTTGCTATGTACAGCCTAGTGGTTGACAATTTTGAGAGCAACAGCAACCATTCATTGTTTCAATCAGAAAGCAATCAAGGGAATGCTTAATCAGATTAGTGTACCTGATTAGATAAATAACTGATTTATTTCTTAAATTAATTATATTTCCACTGAGGAAACTTGTGTGTTAATAATAATGAACTTTTAAAGTCTAATTACTTTTCACTTGATGTCTTGTGATTTTCCAGTAAATACAAATCTGAGTAGCCAAAACCAAAGAGCCAAGGCTGTGCTTTTTCTTTATATATTATAAGGCATTTGCTTCAGGTACTTAAATAAATGTTCTGTATCCTCCAGCAGCCACTGAAGAGCTCTGCGACTAGATTTAATGAGTGCCTCTTTCTGTGTGTTGTTCTATTAGTAATCCGTGCCCTCCCAAGGAAATTGATCTGGCCTTGGCTGAGTAATGGATTACTTCATTAGAAATCTATTAGTGGGGAAGCTGCACTCATTTCACACAATAATTAAAAGACTATTTATTGTGAGAATTGGACATTTGGGACAAAAAAAACTAAGCAGTATTAAAAATAGTTATTTTTATTTTTACTGTTAATTAAAACTTACTACAACTCATTATGTAACTCATTAGAACTCCCTTTGTTTTCAATACTTTTCACTCAATAAATCATGGTTGGATTTGTGTAAATATGACAATTAATTTAATTTAATTCTCTCAACATAAATGACCTTTCTGTGTTTTGGGGATACATTAACAAACAGCCAAGGCACAGATAATGAACATTTTGGAATTAACCTTGCTGTGATGCATTAATCATGTGAAGTAATATTATATAAGCTTGTAATGGATCACATCACCAAATTAGCTCTTATTTCTGCATGCAAATAGTTGTGCTGCTGCTGCTGCTGCTGGTCTAATTACATGGTTAATAATCATTACTCCTGGTAAGTAATGGCTCTTCCCCTCTGGTTTATCTGCAGCGATGTGTGACGGGCTGTGCCAGAATGGGGGGACCTGTGTCTCACCTAACAACTGTGCTTGCCAGCAAGGATTTACAGGGGAGAGGTGTGAGACCGGTAAGAGATGGCTTCAGTTTTACTGCTTCATTTCTCTTTTTCCCCTTACTGTGAAAAAAGTGAATGCACAAGAAAATGTATTAATGTGGTCAAAGTAACAAAATGTTGATGCACTTCTATGTCAAAGAATCTTGTGGCTGTGTCTTTTTATGGAGTTTCAACAAAACTAGTGATGAGTGAAAGCACTTTATATGAATTTCACATTCTTGATCTTGTGTTTGAGGCAATGTGGTCCATTTGCTTCAGACATTAGGACTCAAGCCTGAGAGGCCTATGTCACATTTATGTCCCACAAAGACTTGGCTTAGACTTAAAGTTTGAAACTCTGAACAATCTTATGTAACGAGAATCAAAAGTAAGACAGTCAGATGGACGCAGGCTACTATGAGAGGATAACTAGTTTGCACTGATTCGCTGACACACAAATGCATGGCTACATTGGGGTGGTAAAACATAAAAAAATAATAAGCAGTGAAAAACCTCTTTAAGATGACTTGGTGCTGGAACATGACTTGTGAACACCTCTGGTCTTTGGGTGTTTTAGAGAACAGGTCATCAGTGTAGTGGATTGTAATGTAGATCGATTGACTGGTTCAGGAAGTGGACTGAAGTCAGTGTGTGATGGTCTAGCCTGGGAACAAAGAGAATGTTCTGGAATTAGCCTGGTTACCTGTCTGCTTGTGGAGCTGTTCAATAAATGTTACATGCATGGTGCTTGACGGAAAATCCACGTGAGGATTCTTATTTTCACATAAAACCACAACAACCAGTAAATGTAGAGTTTTCCATTAGTTTTCCCATTTTTACTCATTATTTTTTTTTTATTATTGGTCACTCTGAGTTTTTCATGCAAGCTGAACATGAAAATTGTCTCCCACAACTATTTACTGCATTAGATTCTGATAGAAAATAGGTGAAACTTTTTAATTTGAAAACCCTCACAGATCTACATCACACTGTCACTTAACAATCATGGACTCACCCATCTAGACTCACAATGCGGAAGGCTGTTGTTGATTTAGCATCCAGGAAACAGCAGACAACATCTCGATCAGTAAAGGCTAAACGTTAGCATTAGCAACTCCACCACACGGCACAACTGGGGGCAGCGGTGGCACAGGAGTGAAGTGCTCGCCCCGTAATCGGAAGGTTGCAGGTTCGAGCCCCGCTCAGTCTGTCGCTGTCGTTGTGTCCTTGGGCAAGACACTTAACCCACGTTGCCTGCTGGTGGTGGTCGGAGGGACCGGTGGCGCCAGTGCTCGGCAGCCTCGCCTCTGTCAGTGCGCCCCAGGGCAGCTGTGGCTACATCGTAGCTCATTCCCACCAGTGTGTGAATGTGTGTGTGAATGGGTGAATGACTGGTTGTGTTGTAAAGCGCCTTGGGGGGTCCCAGTACTCTAGAAGGCGCTATATCAAATACAGGCCATTTATCATTTATCATATATAACTCCTTCAGGCTTGTGTTATTTGTGGAAATGAAACATCAGTGTTATAAAACAAACAGAGTTGGTGAAAGAGTCGCAATGCTGTTATCCAATCAGAGGTGAGATGTTTAAAAATCACAAAATAAGACTCCAAATCCTGCTTTCTGAAGCTTGTTGCTCCTCTGGCTGAATTATCCGTCCTGAAACGTGCACCAGAGATTTTTACCCAGAGTACGACTTACAAGGCATTCAGTCCTACTATAAACTGCAAATGTATTAAAAATATGAGTGAATAACCTTATTTAAGCCTATTTGACCTTCTGTTTATTTGTTCCGCAGACACTCACGACAGGTGCGCTGGCATATTTTCTAATGCCCTGATGCAGGATTAGTCCTGCAGTTGGAGCAGAATGAGAGTTATCTCATATCACAGCCTGAATTAATCAGCGTGACATTCTCCTCATACGCTCCATCCCATATCTCCATTACAACTCCTGATGTACAATAACTGATGGGATGCGATAGCTCGACAAAGTAATAAGTCAGCTAGTGTTTATAGTGCAGCCCCTATCACTACTCACTCTCGTTAATGGAAATATGTCAAACATTATCTTGCGATAAGGGTTGGCTGACACAGTGCCTTTTTCTGTTGGGGAACCCACTTTAATCCTCACAGCTCAGCAGACATAATGTGCGTCTGATCCATAGCAGCAACACCTTTCACACAGTCTGTTTCAGAATGTCCTTTAGAGAAGCAAGTGGCCTCGTTAATACAGTCTTCTCAGTGTATGAGTGCGTTTTAATGCAACCTCTCAGATCTCTTATTGGTTCTCCTATTGACTGAGAACTTTCCTTGCTCAAACAGACATTCTTTTTACAGCCAGTCTTAAATTAAATAAATAACGTTAAATAAGAACAGTGTGTGCATGAAAGACTTACCCTTACTGCGCACTGAAAGCATCAGTGGCGTGGAACGTCAGCGAAACGGCACCGCCTCAGATAGAATCCATTATAGTGTATTGTGATGCAGCAATTTCCAGACGCGTCCCAGAAGCAGCACGCCGCGCCGCTAAAGATAAGATCGGGTTCTATTTTATCCGCGAGCCGCTTCTGGGATGCGTCAGTTACCACAGTTAATATTGAGCTATACAGGAAATCACACACGGTTTCAAGGGGAAATCCCTGGTACTTTTCAAAATAAAAGTATTGCAGCAATGCTGTTTGTTATGTATGAAGCTTACATATGATCTAACGGCTTATTTACTCACAGCATTGTTCCAGAAGTGCAGCGGTGGGTATTTCATGGCTTTATTCCAGGTGGTGGAGAGGAACAGCATCACACATCAAACAGCGATGTAAAACGTGATTTCCTTCTTTTTGGTTTAATGGCAAATTGCAATAAAAAAACGTAAACTCTGAAGTCTCGAGGGATCGTTCGATGTCACGAGGGGGTTGGCGGAATTCTCGAGGGATTTTGTGATCTCACGAGTCGAGCGAGGGGCACGGCAGAGAAGCCGTTTCGCTACTGAGACTCTCCCGGTGTGCACTTGAGTGCTGTGATTGTCGCAATTAAACCTTTGTGCTGCCGTTCCGCGCCGCTTTTGCTTCCAGTGTGCAGTAGGCGTCAGCTTTGGTGTAATGACCTCGCCTTCTTTATGTTTTTGGGTAGAGGAGGTTGACTCTTGTTTCTGTGCGATATGTGCAACCATTTAATTGCCTACATCAATAGATCTCTGTTTTCCCATGAAGTTTGTCTTTGGCTTTTTGCACATTAGAATTAAATGGCAAGATAATTGTTTGCATGAATAAACTAAACTTTAGAAAATGAAAGGGTGAAAGCATGATCAGTTCTGCATTCCTTCTTTGGTAGGAACATCAAATACACATGAACATGTCTTGTATGGTGTAGTCCATTCTTTATTGGGCCATGTATGTTTTTGTGTGTGTAAGCACCCTAGAACACACACATAAAACCAACCAAAGTACAACAACAGGTGCATTCACAAAGTCCAGCTGACTTCATCAGAGAATCACATTTCTTTGGGTTTTGTCTGCCAGCTAATGTTGAAGATCTTGCTTTCCAAAAATTAGACAATCAATACTGACTGCAGTTTCTACAGCTGTCCCTAATATAATAATAACAGTTAAATGGCTTTTAGTTTTTAAACTAAGGTAATTTTATGTAAAATGATGGTGCTTCAGGTCTATACGGGTAAAGTTGACTGAGCCATTTCTTTGTTTTTTTATTATTCTAAGATCTGTTTGCTGTGACGGCCATCTTAAATTCCATGCTATCGTTCTTTTTTAAAACACAGAAACGGTTTCGTTACCTGTTTTTTCGCTACGTTATGCTTGCGGCTGCAGACTTCCTCAGGCTGACGCTGATGGTGGCATCACTTCCTTCTCCGTTTATCTGCGGGCAGCAGAGGATGTTGTCGCCCTCTGCTGCCCGCTCTCCCCTCTCCGACGATGCAGTCCCACCACCATCAGTGCAAGTTCACTTCACCACTGACTCCTACAATTCCTCACGTCTGACTCAGCCCTGTGACAACCACTGCCTTGAGGTTCTGTCGTTGTGCTTTTTAAGTCCAGAACCGCTATCAGGGCTCTGTGCAACAAGGCCAAGCCATGTGGCACTGTCCAGGGACTCATCAGTCATTCATTCTGAGACAAGGTGCTCTTCTTTACTGTCTCCTCAGCATGACAGGAGCTCCCGGTGAGGGGTGTGTCTGCTGCAGGAGCTCACAGAAATGCATCGGGGTTAATGTTCTGTTGGATATGCCGCCCTTGTTGCAGGCATGAGGAGGGGGAGGATGACAGAGAGGAAGAGAACAGTGGCTGGGGAGAAAAAGATGGAGATGTTCGTGAGGATTGACAGATGCAAAGTTCAATGAGGGATGGGGAGAAGTAATGAGTTGGAAGGGGTAAAAGGAGGTGAGGTGGAATGGAGGATACAAGATGTTGGAAAAACTGACAGATGCAACGCTGGGATGGGAAAGTCAGTAGGAAGGGGGTGAGTGGTGAGGAGGTAGGGGTTAGTGAGTTTTCCTTCTGCATTCGAATGAGGCTGCTGGAGGAGGAGAAGCTGAACTGGGTGGATGAACATGGAAAAGCTTTCATTGGGTTTGGGCTCCCCACCCGCAGAACCCTGTGAGCTTTTAGAGACCTCCCCAGGGATGCTAACACGTCTGCTGCTGCTCCTGCTGTTGCAGCGGCAGACTGGCGGCCCGTCATGAGCTGCCGAACAAGAGCTCTTCAAGGAGAAGCAGGAGCATGCACTCACAAACACAAACCTAGAAGATGCTCCCAGGCTGTCAGGCTGCCACCTCGTCTCAGATTGTCCTACATTAGCGTGTGCTGGTGCACGTTAGCATCATTCTTTGCCCACGTTTGAATCTGTGTAACTCTATAATACATGTGAAGCAACACTTGTGACGCTGTGTGTGTGTGTGTGTACTTCCTGCCTTGACATTACCATTCAGTGGGGAGGGGGAGGGGACACGTGTGTTGACAGACAGGCAGCAGCTAGAGGAGAACTCATGACACGTCATGAATTATGCAGCTGCAGCCGCACAC